ACTGGAGATTGCTATACATGCTTTTATTTCGTCACGCTTGGATTATTGTATTTCGCTGTTTATATGTCTAAGCAAAGGTTCTCTGGATCGTCTGCAGGTTGTGCAAAACGCTGCAGCGAGGCTTTTGACAAAATCCTCCAAGTACTCACATGTGACACCGTTATTATCTCAGTTACACTGGCTTCCTGTTAAATTTAGAGTTGATTTTAAGATCCTGGTCTTGACCTACAGAGCTGTGCACGGACTGGCACCAGCCTACATCTTTGATCTGCTACAGCCCGATGTCCCTAGCAGGTCTTTGAGGTCATCTGATCAGGGCTTACTTGCTATAAAAATACTAAGAGGAGGACTAAGGGTGACAGAGCTTTTGCCACTGTGGCCCCGAGACTGTGGAACTCTCTCCCCCAAGCATTAAGAACTGTGGACTCAGTAGCTGTTTTTAAAAAACAACTCAAAACTCACCTTTTTAAAACTGCTTTTGGTTAATTTTATGCCTGTTTTATTTTCTCTTTTTAAATCTTTTTATGACTTGTAATCTTATGTGCAGCACTTTGTGATTCTGTCTTGAAAGGTGCTATATAAATAAAAATTTATTATTTATTATTTAAAGGTCTTCTACAGTTTTCCAATCGGTAAAGAGCAGAGTGCACGGTTGTACGTCTCACCTTGCTGATGAGTGTGGGCTTGAGCTGGGCAGTAGTATAGCAGGGGTTAAAAAACTTGGTGAGGGTCACCTGCAGAAATAAGAGGAGGAAACTGTAGATTCAGTATTACAGACGCTCACAATGCAGTCCAGAATCACTGTGGCCGTGAAGATTTACTTTAGTAATATTCATCACGTTTTTGGTAGAAGACAACATAAATTGTTATATAGATTTATTTATTCATGTTTTTCAACTTACTCACAAATCAATACATATTGTCTATTCTTACATAATATCTGAGTAATCAAAGTAAACCTCTGTTTACTGCACTATAAACCTCTTAAAGTATGCTTAAAAAGAACAAAGAAACCACAATAAATATATACAAAATAAAATATTATTGTTTGAACGTAAATAAACTCAGCAAGAGCGCTGCCTTGACAGAGGGTTGCACTCTCGAAGTGCTTCCTTTCAATTAAAATGCATTATAAATACAGGGACGGATGGATATAAATAATATAATTACTAAAATCAACTGTGCCATTTTTGGCAGTGAGGACTACATTGCAAGCACCCTCTGCTGCACCCACAGTTTAGCTGCAGCAAACTTCTGTACAGTGGGATGCACATGAAAATATCTTGAAATTTGAGCGTCTACATGGCATTTAAATACAAGACCCTCAGTTAAAGTTGAGTTTTTTAGAATGATATGACTCACCGGTGGAGGTACCGTCTTGTATCTGACCCAGAAGACAGCAGCTATCAAACCAATGTCTCTGAAAATCACTAGAGCTGTCAGTGGAGCTGAAACAGAAGCCCACAGTTAAAAATCTCATATCCTTGTTTGAGACAGGAAGAAAACACAGAAATACACTGAGTATTATACCTGGTATAAGTTCAGCATAGGTGAGACTGACATATAAAATACTGATGAGAATCTTGTCAGCCAATGGGTCGAGAGCACTGCCCAGTGCCGACTTTTGAGTGGGCCACGTTCTGGCAATGTAACCATCCAACTGAGTAAGAGAGAATGAGACAGAAAAATGAATAAATAAAGTAAATTCAATGTGGTACAAGTTTCTAAGCTGAGCTAAGCAAGACAACTAGTTTTAAAAGGTTTGGGGCAGATCAGTATGCAGTGAGTCCCAATTTAAAAGCCTAATTAACTTTATTTGCATCTCATGCATCTTGATCTTGACTTGATACACAAATAGTAAATATTCCAACTACCACGTTTTTAAAAATATTTTTACAGGTGCATCATTGACATGTGTTAAATGTCCAAAACTGTTTGCAATCCTCAGAAGCTGAAAATGAGTTTACAAGATTTCCTTGTACAGGCGTGCAACTCCAGACTGGAACCACACACCTGTGCAGGAAGTGCTTTAGCGTAAATGTCTGTTTATGTGTAGATTACCAGGTCAGTAGCTCCAGCCAGCGCAAACAGAGCCAAACTGAGGTGAAATTTCTGCTGGATGATCAGATGACCAAGGAATGGAGCCAGCAAAATCCGACACACACATAACAGGTTGGGGATTGTCCATGGATTCTCATACTGAAGAAAAAATAAGTAAATATTACGACAGAGTTTACAGCTAGAGCTATTAAAAAATAAATAAATAAATAAATGGATAAAATAAAAAAATCAGAGAACTTGCTTCAGATCTGTCAGCCTAAATCTTTTCTAGCAGCTGTTCTCAGTAATGTGTGCAATATATATCGATCATGCATTGGCCTTATTAACAAATAAGATGACATTTACCAATGGCAGGAATTTATATTTTCTCTAATGACTCAAATCAATTTTATGTTGGCAAATGCAATAGTTAGATTTCAAACAGTTTTTTAAATAATGATTTATTTGTTTCCCTTATGAGTAGAGGACCTACAACAGGATACAAGATGGTGACAGTTAAATAAAAATAAGAGACTCCATTTTTTATCAGGTCCAAGGAATATGAACGTGTACCAATGTGACTTATGACTATAATTCATCTAAAACAGTAGGGGAGAAAATAGTTGGTGTTATTGTTGTTCTACAGTCACAGAACTTAAATTTTCCTAGAAGACAAAAAAACCCAAGTAAAGCTCAATTTAAGACTGCAGGAGATCTACTTCATAACTGAAAACTCCTTTTATCCCTACACCACAACCTCCCACACCATTCAAGTCACAGTGGTATTTAGTAAACAAAAGCTTATGTTACGCTTGGTTATAGGACAAAGGTTCTGGGTTTGAATCCAGTCTGCAGAGTTTATGTGTGGACTTTGCATGTTGTTTGTCTGCATAGGATTTCTCCAGGTACTCAGGCTACAAAAACGTTGTTCATTGGTGATTCTATAAACTGGCTCTAGGTGTGAGTGTGAGCATCAATGATTATCATTCTTTTTGTGTTAGCCCCGCAACAATCTTGTGACCATAAACCTCTATGACTGCTGAGATGGGCTCCAGCCCACTGCAACAAGTGGAAGAAAATGAACTAATGGGTATTTTAAACATGCCATTTTTATGTACAGGAAAAACTATTTACTTATGGACTTGTATTCATTAAACCTAATAAGGCTGTTTTACGAGGAAACTCGCTGTAAGAAATCTTGACATTTAAACTTCTGGGTTCACAGAGTCCATTGGGCCAGTAAATGCCCCAGGGTTTGGGATAGCTCACAAACACAAAAATGCTGTTTCTCTTACTTCATGCTTGAGAAATGTAAGAGTTTACACTAAACCTTTTTTCTGGAACAAAGCCCAGTGCTCCCTCTTCAGTGGAAAATTACCCACAAAGCTCTTCTAGTGTGACCAATGATTACACTATTGTAAATTCTACTTAAGCAACTGTGTGTTTCTTCATGTTTTGGTCATTTGGTCATGTTATGGTCATTCGACTATAGTTCCTTTGAAAAGTATAAACCATTGCACCGTTTTGGCCACCAACTGATGAACACACATGAGTCACACTTTATTAATTGTTGTACAACATGCATCTACGGTGCCTACCCCCTTCTGTGAACTTCATACTCCTGTCACCTCTGTACTCACCAGCTCTTTGAACTTGAACAGTCCGTGTCCCGGTACCGTGCCGGCGTCACCCCTCTCCTCTCCGGTGGAACTGTCCGGCTTCTCGTCGGTCTTTCCACTGCACAGTCCTCGAGCTGTCGGGGACAGCAGAGACCGGAAACTGGCCGCATACCACTCGCGACCTCCCTGGGTCAGGGGTATAGGTCCTTGCACGTGCCATGGAGTCTGCTTTCCCTGCTGGAGGACCCCACTCCAACACGCGACACGGCTGTCTGTCCCTTTGAGTCTCGCGAGGTACGAGCCGCTCACCTGAGTTCGTTTCAACCTAGCGAACTCCGTGACAGGTGTGTATCTGAGCCGCCATGATACGGGCTCCAGTAGGCACACGGGCGCACTCCGCGCGGACACCAGACAGCGAACGTTTGTGTTGCGGCACAGCGGTGCAGAAATCACCCGAAAACACAGCGTCATCATCTTCACGAGACTTACGTTACCGACCTGCTGGCCTCGTGCCGTCTCCCCGCGAGTTCATCATGAAGTTAAAGACCCCGATGGTCAGAGCCGACGGGTACCCTCATCGAGCCAGCAGGCTGCCATGTTGCCGTAAATCGATACGGTACATGATGTCGTAAAACCTACTTTCCTTCAGCGCTTTTAATTTAAAAAGAGAATCGCTTATTTAAATAAGTGGTGTATCAAGAGATAGAAAATTCAGATAATAGTCGGACTTGTCGTTAATAAATTGTAACAATTTCTTAGATAATAAGTAAATATTTAGCGTATTAGTCTTTTGAATTACAAATTAAAAGCATTTTCACTACCTCCCTTTTTGTAAAAAACAAAACAAACAAAAAAAAAACAACAACAAACAAAAGGCTGAGTGTTCCACATCATTTAATAAAGTGCACAGCAGAGAGACAGAACGTAACCATGAACTTATGTTTAAGACAAAAATGAAAAGCAAATACTATACATCCAACAGGACACCCAATACTGAAGTCA